CCTGTCTCCTCAAATTTTTAGCAGGAATTCAATGATTTGCTGGAAAAAATGAAAATCCACCTTAGCAGAAGGAGATCATCATGAATTCTGCAAAACCAGCTGTTAATTAATCCTTTAATTGCCATCTGACACTTCCCCCTTCCCACAAACCACTGAAGGATCCTGGGGATTTTTTTTTCCAGCCTTTTGGATTTTTTTTTCTAGTCTTTTGGATTTTTTTCCTGGCTTTGCAGCAGGACTTCCAAAGAAACCATTCCCCTCATGTCCCTCGTGGTACCTCCACATCTCAGGATCCCTCAGGAACCGATTTTCTCCTAAATCCCAGAAGAACATTCCCACTTGGGATCTTTCCCGGGATATTTTCTCCCTAAAAGCCATTTTGGCCTCCTCTTTTCTCGTGCTGGTGAACAGCAAACATGTGTTCTCCCGATCCCAACAGTCAGGGAGCAAATGATGGATATTGCCAGACAATCTCCTATTCTGGTCCATATTCCCAGCTGGAATAAATCAGCATTTTTCCCTTGAAGTTTTGGAACTCACTGATTTAGAGCAGCTGCAGAGCTTGGGCCAAAGGCTCTTCTTTGGAGCTGATGTTCCTATAGGGAGCAGGGGGAATATCCCAAAATATCCCAAATTCTGCAAGGCCTACAGGTGACAAAAATAAGGAGAGAAATGGAGGTTTCTTGTAAATTCCCCATCTGGTTTTCTTTTTATTTTTAATTATTACTCTTTTTTTTCTTGTCCTGTTTTAACCCCTCAGGTGTCACAAGATGAATGGAAAACCATCCCAAAATATCCCAAACTATATAAGATTTGCCAGCTGAAAAAAATAAGGAGAGAAATGGAGGTTTCTTGCAAATTCTCCATCTGGTTTCATTTTGATATTTAATTATTTCTCTTTTTCCTCTTGTCCTCTTTTAACCCCTCAGGTGTCAAAAGATGGATGGAAAACCATCCCAAAATATCCCAAAGTATGTAAGACCTACAGGTGACAAAAATAAGGAGAGAAATGGAGGTTTCTTGTAAATTCCCCATCTGGTTTCCTTTTATTTTTAATTATTACTCTTTTTCCTCTTGTCCTTTTTAATCCCTCAGGTGTCACGAGACAGATGGAAAACTATCCCAAGATATCCAAAACTATCCCAAATTCTACAAGACCTGCAGGTGACAAAAACAGGGAGAGAAATGGAGGTTTCTTGTCAATTCTCCATCTGGTTTCCTTTTTGTATTTAATTATTTCTCTTTTTGTCCTGTTTTAACCCCTCAGGTGTCACAAGATGGATGGAAAACCATCCCA